AGTAGACACAACTAAGCACCCAAACTGCAATAAAGCTCACAGGAATAACCAGGTGGGTTCACTTGTCTCAAATTAAACCTGGTTCTGGTGAGTCCCCACAGGAAACATAGTCTGAGAACTACTCATGTGATCCTATGGAGGACCTAAGCTTCTCTTCAAAAAACAAAATCCTTCCCAGGCCAGTGGGCCTCAGTTAGTTAGAGCGCCATCCCATAACTGAAAGGTTCTGGTTTCAATTCCTGGTTGGGGCACATGCCTAGGATACAAGTTCAATTCCTAGTCCAGATGCAAACAATTCCCAGGTTGGGCACATATGGGAGGCAACCAATCAATACTTCCTTTTTGCATTGATGTTCCTCCCTGTCTCCTCCTCTCCATTCCTCTCCCTCTTCCTCTCTCTAAAAAACAATGAATAACAATGTCTTTGGGTGAGGATAAAAACCAGCCTGTTACAGATAAATGATATAATAGCTAAGCCTTAATATAATTATCTTTCTCATATTTCTGATACTCTTTCTACTAGCCTGTTGATACACGCAGCCTCCTCTCCCAGAAAAGAAATTTTTCTGTCCCCGTTGGATTTAATGCTTCTCAGATAAAATCTCAGGTGTTCCACTCCCCTAACGATCTTGTCAAATTTGTCACCTCTGGGATACAACAAAACCAGGTCAAGATGATGACACTTTAGAGATTCCGGTCCATCCCTACTTCAGAAGAGTCAGCCAATGGCCTCTCTGCTCCAGTCTCACATCCCATTCCCTTGACCCCCTTAGATCAGGCAGGGACAGACGTCCATATCCTACATAAGCCAGGACCATGACCTTGTTAACATAAATCACTTGCTGAAGACAAACTGTCCTCCCTCATCAACCCTAAATGATCTGAGGGATTGAAGTCTCTAATGGAGCAATGAAGCAAAATAGTAAGAAGCGAGGGAAATTCTTTGACTAGTGAAATAAGGGAGACAGAGAAAAAAAATCATTAAACAAGGCCAAATAATTTGAGCAATTTATAGCCAGCTAATGAATCACACAGTTTCATTTTCCCTAACAAAGGACACTTAGGAGCAAATGGCTTACACAATACAGACCCTCCTGGGGAAGACTGGCCTTGGTCCTGGCCCCTCTACAATGATGTTCTTTAAAAATACAACTGACCAAAATAACCCCTGGCCCTTCTATACCCATTGCGATGAACAGTATATTGAAGGAAACATCTGAAAATCTAATGAATATTCTTTTAAAACCCTCCTGAGACCTGCACTAGAAACCCAGCTGGCCAAAGAAACATAAAAGCCTCAGGACAAAGCAATCATGCTGTGCCCTCTCTGGAGCATCCCCATCCCTCGTATTTCTGCTGTCTTTTTCCTGAATTCTAAGTGACCCCATGAGACTTGCAACCAGAGGAGCAGTGGGCAGGAGCAGTGGGCAGCAGCAGTTCTTCCTAGGCTAGCCCCCTAAACCTGTCTCCAGGGCCCCCCTTTTCTCTGACTGTCTCTCTCCTGTTGCTTCTTCTGCCTTCAGCCCTTCTTTTGTTTCACTGTGCCCAGCTTTAACAAACAGCTTTCAAAATCAACTGGACTCATGTTGTGGAATGTTTCCTACATGAGGTCAAGAACCCACACACTACCGGTGGGCCTAAGGCACACAGCACACCTGTTCTGGACCCAGACCCCATCCAGTGACAGAGACATGAGGAAAGGAGAAAGGACCTTGGAATTCTCAGTCTGGAGGAAAGGGGCTTTGGGCAAGCTGCTTTTCTTTTTTTTTTTATTTTAATTTCCCTATTTGTAAGATAGAATAGGTTTTAGATAATCCAAACAGATCCTTCCAATAGTAGCATTTATCCATTGCACTGTATCCCTTTGTTTTTCTCTCTGTCCCCTCCACCAGATTGTGAACTTCCCATGGAAAGACTTGCCCTTGATTTTTCTTGGGTTACTGGCAGTGCCCAGCACTGGCCGGTGTCCAGGAGGCAGCAGTGAGAGTGGAGACTGGCTCTATGCCTCCTTCCTGAACATTTCCATTCTTTTTCCTCCAGGCTATTAAGGAAGAAAATAAAGGAACTATAGGCTCTTGGACCTTTGCATAAAATCTGCTTTGCAAGTTTCACTAGTTCTTCATATTTAAAAAATTTCCTTGCCAATGTCCTGTGCATTGATTATATAAACCATTATTTTGAGGTGCTGTCACATAACTTCTAGCTGATGGATGGAGGTAGGAAGAAGTGGAACAGTCTAGGGAAGAAAGAACTGAAGCAAGGACTGGCACAAAATGGAACATTCAAGGGGCCAGTACTTGGTCCAGATGAAATCATCATTATTTAATTCTGTCTTAAGCATTAACCTGACAAATAAAAGCTGGTCCAGGAACTGTGATAGGAGTCGGGGGGCGGGGCAAGTGACAGGGAGGGGAATAGAAAGTAGTAACAGGGATTGGGTTATTGTTCATGCCTGTCCCTATCTTAGCATAAATAAATGAATGAATAAGTGAATTTTGGACAATTCCTTTAAAGAAGGTTGGGAATGAGGGGTAGCAGCTTAGGGGTCCGGGTCTGTTGGATCCTACTTCACTGCTGAATAAGTTATTTAAAAAAAACTCTAAATAATCTCTACTTTACTACATTTACTACTATCTATGCTCTCAAAGTTATGTCTCTTGTGTCCAGGACTGAGTTCATGAGCATGGAACCTGAGCAGTGACACAGGATCTTGCACTCAGATGGGTATGTGCTTGGTTTAATGCTCTGTTGTCATTGTCTGATTAGTAAGTTTTAACAAGGGGCCCCATATTTTCATTTTGCACCGCGTTCCATAATTGTGTTGCAGGGCTTGATTGTATCTGTGTGGTGAAACTACTATACAATGAATGTTGCTCAGCATCTCTTCCCAAATCAGGATTCAGGGTCCTCTGTTAGCAGCTTGAAATAGGACATGGTGGACATCCTCAAACTTTGGAAATCAGAGGGAGCATCAGTTGTAAAACTTTTACAAGCACACCACTGGACAAACCACACTATGTAAATATAACAGTCATTCATGCCCACCAGCAGCCCATAGAACTCTGTGGGTTTTGATAAAATTTCAGAATAGGAAAGGTCTTTTGGCATAGCAGTTTGTTTATATACACAGCAGTTTTGCATAGCATTTATTTGTGGCAATGAAGAAAAAGGATGACTCAATCTTGGCATTATTTCAACACCTAGATTCAGATCTCCCTTGATTGAAGATTGTCCAGCCTGACATGTATCACTCTGGGAGACTATAAGGAGTCGGCCTGAATAGAGGTTTGCATTGGTTAACAAAGGGTTAGAAATCCGGAACTTGAGCCTGCCTCCTCTGGCCAAGCTTGAGCTGCTCATCCCACTGCTTTTCCTCTTGCCTGGGGAAGGAGGGAGCTTCCCAGGGAGCACAGAGACGCAGTGGTCAGGGTGATCCTCCCCAACCACCGGGCTTGGAAGATCATCATCTCCCGGGATCCCCGGAGGCTGCCGGCAATCAGCAGTACCCAGTCATGGAGTTCGCCGGGCTGGACACACGCTGGGCGAGGTCCTTTTACCTGGCGTTCGTGTTCTTCCTGACTCTGGGGCTGCTGCAGACCATCAAGCTCTACCTGCGAAGGCAGCAGCTGCTGCGAGATCTGCGCGCCTTTCCCGGTCCATCGCCGCACTGGTTCACCGGGAACCGGAAGGTAGATGAAGGGAGGGGCGTAGGAGGATGCTGGAAACATGGAGGGCAGAGAGGCGGCTGTGTCCTTCCCTTTCTCCATCCTTCCTTGCCTCACAGACCTCTCTGGCCCAGCCTGTGGCTCTCCACATTTTTTCCTTGTGTTAGGCTTGCTCCTTCACATTCCTACAGGGAAAGGGACCCACCCTGGAGCCATTAGACCAGAAGCTTCGGTGGCCGAGGGAGGTATTTCAAAAGCTTAATTCCAGAAAAAGAAAGAGCGGTGTAACTCTGGATCATTTCTGCTTCGCCAAGCTCTTGCACATATATCCAGCACTTTAAAAAGGCTTCCACACATATTGCTAAATTTTTTAAGTATTACCCTAAATAATATTTAGTAATTGCAGAAAATGTGCTAAGTTGCAACCTTAATCCATTCCAACTAGAGAAAATTCACTTTCTTTTCCTAAAATACTTGTGAAGCAGGGAACATCCCCAGCCAATCACTCAAAAAATATTGACTGGTTTAAATTTGTAGTGTAGAGGAAGGCTGGTGCCTGTTAGTACCCTGCCTCTAAATCTATTCCCACCAAGATTCCTTGTTTTATTAAAAACATAAACTACTAGTTCTTTTCAATGCATTATTTTCTACACGCATGTAGAAAACAAAAGGTGAGTTACAAAGTACTTTTACAATAATATTAGCTTTTATAATTGCCCATGCATTTACCATTACTGAGATCTTTAGTTCTTCACATGGCTGTGGATTTCTTCATGTGGCACATAGCTGACACACAGTTGTTCGAACTAGATTAAGATAGATTCTGCACATCAAGCCACAGAAAATTCTGTATTTTACCTTAGGCAGTAATTTGGATGTCTTCCTTGTGGAAACCGTTCACTCGTGTGGACTCTGGTCTGATGTGTTGAGTCTTTTTTCACAGAAGCCTGGGGCATTTAGGCTGACTTCAAGGTAGGGAGGAGTCACTGGCTAATTTAAATGTTTTCAGTTGTCAGCTGTGGGGAGAGATCAGACTGGCCATGATGCAGGGGGGGGGTTGTGTTTGTTTGTTTGTTTATTTGTTTATTTTTAGAGATGGGGGAAGTAAGGAGAAAGACAGGTAGAAAAACATAGCTACAAAAAGGGACTGACTGAACTTGCAATCTAGGCATGTGAGCTGACCAAGAATCAAACAGATGACCTTTCTTTTTGAGGGACAACACCCAACCAACTGAGCCACACTAAGTTAGGGCTGTAATGCAATTATTTTAAACAGTCTTCTCTCTTATCTTCCTGTTGTTTGTCAGGGTAGAACAGTCATGGCAGTTTACTTACTGCGAGGAGGTGATGCTTCAGTGAGGGCTGCACAGGAACAAGTGGAGCAGTGCATAGGAAGAGATGGCAGTAGCTGAGAGTTTTGCATTGGAGTTTGCTTCAAGCTTCACACACCTGTATAATGGAATCTTGTGCTGTTATATGGCAAAAGAGTTGAATTTTCTTTGTAGATGGAATTGGTGTGTATTTAGAGAGAACCATTTACTATTAAGTCATTAGGGAAAAATCACTCACCAGTAATTAGAGAGAGGAAAAGGGAGAGGAATAGTGAGCAAGATGGTGGGTCATGTTCAACCTGCTACTAGTTAGTTTTCCACATAGGAAAAAAAATCTTTTGCAGCTTCCAGACTCCACTCCTAATCCAAGTGTGTGACCTTGGCAGGTGAGGCAGGCTATGTTACTTGGCTTCCTTCACCCTCTCATTTGGGAAAACAGCTCACAGTGTACATCATTTGACAGTGACTTCGTCTGGGGATAGGACATGTATTTATATTGGGATGATAAGTAAACTATCCTTGTTTAGGATTTTTTGTACCTCAAGCTTAGAAATTCCAAGGAAAGCATGTTCACCCATTTCCAGAAAAGGAGTCAGGGCCCCCTGCCTGGTGACCTTATCCAGGCCCTGAACTCACTTTAGTCTGTACAAGCACATAAGTCTAGACTGGCTGGCATCTCTAATTTCCCTTGCTATTTCCATTGCAGTTACTTCTGGATGGTAACTTGGAGGAACTTGAGGAGGTTGTAAAAAAATACCCATGTGCCTTTCCCATCTGGCTTGGGCCTTTTCAGGCATTTTTTTATATCTGTGACCCGGACTATGCAAGGACATTTCTGAGCAGAACAGGTAAGACAAGGAATGAATCTCAGGAACTTCATCCTGCTAAGAGCGATATGCACAAGCCACAAGTAGGATACTGAAGGAATTCTGCAGCAATGATTAGTATTGGGCCTTTAAGAGACACTGGAGTAAGTGTGGAGAGGTTTCCCACCAATCCTGAAGGGGATTCCCATGCCCCCCTGTCCCTGTCTAGTTCAGACTCTCATAGGCCTTTTAGGTCACTGTATCTTAAAGCCCAGCTGGCACCACCAGATCACCAAGGGCTTTCTTTCCTTTTTTGGTTTTGTGACTTCAGTGTCAGCCACAGTCCCCAGCCCCAGCCCCTTTCTTGCTCAGGAGTCTTCAGAGGGATTTCGAGGTAGCTCTGCCTGTGCTGCTTCAGTATGTAACCATGAAGACCAGATCATGATTTTACTCAGTCTAATCTCTTCAAAATGGTCCAAATTTAGTGTTTGATTTTTGCATATTTCTCAACTGTGTTCCCTTTTGGGGTTGAGTCTTTTGACTCCCACATCCAACTCTTTTTCAAGACTTTCATGGTATATTATCTCATAGCACAACATTGAAATGCCCCAACTTTGTAAAATTAAAGTCTGATATTTAAACCTTTCTTCCCTGTGCCATTGTCTCCATTACTCTTAGAAAAACCTCATAAAAGAAAACAGTCTTTCCCATGTTTCCTGTTTCCCCAGTTCTCTTGTATTGGTCTCAATGAGGTCACCTCTTAAAGGGCAAGAGCTGTAAAACACCTCCACGTTAGAGTTCACAAAAACCCCAATAGGTATTTGTACTTTACTTACTGGTGTTTCTCCAACCCCTGTGGTAATAGGTAATTTGCTTTCCGAGAAACATATGATAGGTTGTCCCGGCTCCTGTTCTGGAAACTTTGTAACCTGAGAATAATCTCTGTGTGTGTGGTAGGAAGTATAAATGAGGAAAGGATCTGAGTTTGCGTACTTGTCTGCCTCATGGACCTCTTCTCTGATTCCTGAACCTAGACTTTGGCCATCTGCCCCAACCCCTGCACCTACCAAGGGTTGCAGGAAGTAAGCCCTGGGCTCCATTTTTCTATTTGTGGTTAATGAAGCAAATGAAGAGAATCTTCACCAACTTTGATAACTTTCTTCTAATGCTGTCTTTTGTTTTCTCTGGCTTACTCTGCAGATCCCAAGTCCAAGTACCTATACAAGTTCTTGATTCCACTAATCGGTATGTATGTTTAAATAAGAAGGGTGACCTACTCTCTTGCTAGAAGTCCCCTTTCTATTGTAGAGCACTCCAAAGGAACTCAAGTCAGAATTTAAAAGCATTAAGAATATGGTAGATCTACACTGCAGGTTATCTAGGGGGAAGGTCAAGAGGGCATGCTAAGGTCAACACAGCTCAACTTCCTAGGAAGCCTCTTTGTCCATTTCTCTCCCTAAAATCTCATTCTCAAGACACATATGTGTGTATATGTCCCATTTCTGTCTTTAAAATTGCAGCTTCACCCTCCACATTCTTTATGTTGCCCTTTCTTCTCTCTTGTCTCATTCCCTTTCTTTTTGGAGTTCCGTATTTCTGTATGCAAATCAGTAAAATTTTGCCCCACAGTACAGTTTGGAAATATTCTATGAATAGATAAATTAGGACTTTTGGTCATATATTTGATATTTATGTTAGAAAAGAAAAGAATTAAATGAAAGAATATGTGTTTTGGAGTTATAGCTACTTGAATTTGAATCCTTTTCCTCCTTCCCACTGATGAGTATGGTCTTTGGGAAGTCAATTAATCTCTCTAAACCTCTGTGTCCTCACCTTTGAAAATAAGAAAGAGAGTCACATCTCCAGAGTGTTGTGAGGATTAAATGAAACACATATTCAAGTCATGCATTGCAAGGTTGGTATGTTGTAAGCCCTCAGTGTATGATAGCCATTATATCTATAAGCTTCATGGTTCTTTTAAAGTCAAATCTTTAATGACCCCCCTGCTTCAGAAGATTTGGGGCATTAGCCTTAATTAGTGTTTCCACTTTGTATCCTTAATGGGTGTGAAGCACAGCATAAGGCTCAAGGAGGAGATATCAGGGGACATAATGCACACTCTTTTCTAGTTCCTTGTGAATTTTGTGTTCACTCTGTAGTTGGGATTGGTTTAGAGTGAAAGAAGATGAATCCTTTGTTTCTACTGTTAGCTAGACATCAGGCTGGTGCCATATATATATATCCATTTAATAAGCAACACAGTGAAGTAAATATTTATCACACTTGATTATTGAGAAAACCAATCCTCAGGAAGGTTAAGTGACTTACATGGGTAGTAACTAATGTTACTTAAGTGAATGAATACATGGGTAGTAACTGATGATTTGAAAATGAGCACTTTCATAAGGCTTTATAAAGTGGGATTTTTTCTGGCAATGCTAAATACGTTCATCCCAGATATAAACATCAAAATTTACTTTGATCTTAAAATATGAGTACTATCTGATATTCTGCTATGTTGTGTTTGTGTATCATGGTCACCCCATGGTGTGTATTCCTCATCTCCCCTTCACCATACCTTCTAATAAAATGCTTTTGTGCCTTTTATTTCTCAAGGAGAAGGACTACTGAGCCTAAATGGACCCATGTGGTTCCAGCACCGATGTGTAATAACTCCTGCATTTAATTTTAATATCTTGAAATCCCATGTCAATGTGTTGACCCAGTCTGTGAACATAATGCTGGTAGGTAAAGGGATACAAGTGTTGTGATGTGTTGCAAAATACTTCTAACAGGGATTGGATTACACATATGTTTGGTGGGTAGTAAGATTCAAAGGGGAATAATTTCTAGAAATTACTCAATATACAAGTACTCACTAGCAACAGTTTCTATATATGCCTTTGCTATGGATTTTCAGGTGATAAAAAAAGGTGAAGATCTGGTCGTCTTAGATATATTTTGAGAACCTATGGAAATAAATTTAAAAAGTAAGATTAAAATGGTAAATGCTCTGGGTGACAAGTCAGAAAAACTGGAGGAGCTATAATAGCTTCAGATTCGGAGGAGACTCAGAGTTATCATGAAACATGAGCTGGACTTGAATATGTGAATAATATGGATGAGTAAATTAGGCAGAGTGAGTTAGCATGACCAAAATTTTGGTGGCTGAAATGAACTTGCCTGATCACCATAAATGACTGGACATAGACTAAGTGTCTATATTACAGTTGCGAATGTGAGTTTCCTGTTGTAGATAACAGAGGATCATTAGGAGGTGACCTGCACTCTTCCAAGGGGGGCAAGAAGAGTGTTCCTGTGGGCAGTCTTTGATGTATATATGAGTTCTATTCTAAAAGCCCCCTTGTACATGATAACATTGTAGATTGTACTTATTTAAAAATCATACAAGGAATGCACTAATATGGTTTCATCATAAACACTTCCAATATCACAAATAAAGCCAAAGTTTTCCCCCCTTCATCAGCAAACCTATTCCTTTCCACAAGAGAGACATACTTACTGGCTTTGTTCTCAGCCTTGCTCACAGAAGTTAATTTAACCTCAAGTCTGCCAGAACTGTGGTGCAAGTGAGTACCAGTGTGAGTTGTCCAGGTGAGAGCTTGAGGTGCAGGTTAGAGTGGGAGAGGGCATGCTCCTCTGATTCAGGTGCTGTTCCAGTTAAGGCACAATTGTGTATCACCCAGTGGTAGTACTTGAGTTTATATCCATTTCAAGAAACATTTCTGTCTCCCTAACTTCTAGGTCCCACATTTCCCTGAGATTCCTGTCAGAGCTCCTCCCTCTGCTGGATTGTGCCAAAATACCTCCAGCTCTGAGCTTCCCCTTTGCTCTCATTTCTTCTAGACTCACCTTTGTACTCAGTAAAACTTACATAATTCAGGGTGAAAGCAATTGCTAACAGTTGACACTTAGGTAAAAGCAAGAAAACCATCTCTTTGCCTTTTCTTGTGTGGCCTTCAAATCCTGAGCATGTGGCTGTAGGCAGAGGTGCTCAAATGTCAGTTGATCTGAACTTAACACATTGAGATTTATTTGCATTTTCACTTTAATGTCCCAAGTTTAAGTGTGGTTATGGTGGTTGAGAATTGTGATGGATGAGTTGTCTAACTGTTTGGGAACTAAAGATGGGCAAACCCTGGGGAGCCCCTTGTAATTACAGGTCTTGTACCAGAGATTATTTGTTTTACTGGAACTCTGATCTGTTTCAAAGCAGAATTATGGTAATAATTGACAGGCCAATGATATTTAATTTGGCCATTTATTGGATACCTGGTGTGCTCCATGCTCTTTCTTACCCAGCGGGATGTATGTTTTCCCTGTCCTAATGCTAAGTAAACAGTTTATTTGCCTGTATAGATTTTGGCTCCTGTTAGGTCAGGTTTGTCTCCATTTCAGCTTAAGGGCAGGGTCAAGGAGAAGTCTTCAGATAAAGACACTGATGGTGATGTTGTTAATCTTGACTTCCTGTATCAGGGTAAATGGGAGAAGATGTGCGGCACTCAGGATACACTTGTGGAGGTCTCTGGGGACATCAGCTTGATGACTCTGGATGCACTCATGAAATGTACCTTCAGCAAAGAGACCAACTGCCAGATAAACAGGTCAGTAACAGGGGGGCAAAGAAGACATTTGTTTGCCATTACTTAGGTCATTTATTGACATTTATTCCTTTTTTCTCTCTAGCTCCCATGATGAGTATGTCAATGCGATATCTGAAGGCTCCAAAATTATCTTTAAACACTTGTACACTTTCTTACTGCACCATGACATGATTTTCAAATTCACCACAGCTTACCGCCGCTTACAGAAGATAGCCAACATTCTGCATCAGTACACAGGTATTTCTAGGGTCTCGGTTGCCCAAATGCATCCATTTTCATAACCATGTTGTGTCTGCGTAGAGGAGCAGACCTCAGTGTGAAAACAGAAAACATTCTTGTTCTTTTTTTTTTATAGCATTCTCGTTCTTAATGAAGCTTTGATATGGACATTGCTCCAATATAATTCAAGTCCTTTAGAAGAGCTTGCTACATCCACAGTCATGGTCTTATGAAAAGTTTTCAACATATCATATAATTTTTATTTTGCACAACTTTTATTAGTACAAATATAACATAACATGTGGGCACTTATTATTTCAAAACATAAATGGCAATTAGCTTTTTGCAACATGATTGTAGTAGTAATGACAAGTGAAAAATATTTATACATTCCCCTGAATGATCAGGGAAAGAGAGTAAATGGGGACGTACATTCAAAAAAGGGGGAAATGAGGAGTAGTCCAATGGGTATAAAGTTTGAGTTATGGAGAATGACGAAGTTCTAGAGAGCTGCTCTACACCATGGTTTCTATAGTTAACAATACTGTACTGTATACTTAAAAGTGTGGTAAGTGGGTAGATCTCAGCATAAACATTCTTACTGGAATAAAAAAAATTTTTTAAGTTAAAAAAAAGAATGGTTTAAAAATAGCTTTAATGAAACATAAACCTAAAAGTTAAAGAGATTAAACTTTCTAAGCAATTCAACATTACTTTTAGTAAACCCCATACTACAGAATGTTTACTAAGCAGTTAATTCATCTTACTTTAGTCCCACCACTTAACAGCAGTGTGATTTTGGGCAAGTTACTTACAGCTTTCCTACAGTTTCATTTGTAAAATGAGGGTAAAAGAGGACCTATCTCATAGGTTTGTAGCAATGATTAAATATGTTAATATATTTAAAGTACTTCAGACAGTTCCTGGAACTGAATAAATGGAAACATGAAATATGTTTACCCCTAGGAAATTTGCAAGACACATCTTTTATCAGATAACTCATTGTCAAAAATCTTCCATTCACTAGGTTGCCTTTTTGTTTTGTTCATGGTTTGTTTTGCTGTGCAAAAACATATTTGTTTGATATAGTCCTATTTATTTTTTTCTCCTAAGCTAAATAATCAGAAAATATTACTAAAAGCAATGCCAGAGAGTTTACCACATATGTTTTCTTCTAGGAATTTTATGGCTTCAGGTCTACCATTTAAGTCTTTAATCCATTTTGAGAGGGTGGTCTAGTTTCATTTTTTTGTATGTCTGTACAGTTTTCCCAAAGCCACTTATTGAATAAACTTTCTTTACCCTATTGTACGTTTTTGCCTCCTTTTTTTACAGATTAATTGATCATATAGGCATCAGTTTATTTCTGGGCTGTCTATTCTGTTCCATTAATGTATGTGTTTGGTTTTTGCCAGTATCATGCTGTTTTGATTACTAGAGCCTTCTGGCATAGTTTGATATCAGGTAGAGTGTTACCTCCAATTTGTTCTTTCTCAAAATTGTTGTGATTATTTGAGGTCTTTTCTGGTTCCTTATAAATTTTGGGATTATTTATTTTAGTTTTATTTAAAATGCTATTGATATTTTGATAAAGATTGCATTAAATCTGTAGGTTGCTTTGGGCAGTATAAACATTTTAAAGATGTTAATTCTTCCTATCCATGTGCACAATATATGTGTCCATGTATTTGGATCTTCTTCAATCTCTTTCTTCAATGTGTTATAATTTTCCAAGTACATACATTTTACCTCCCTGATTAAATTTATTTCTGGGTATATTATTTTTATTAGTTTTAAATGGAATTGTTTTCTTAATTTCTCTTTCTGATAGTTCATTACTGGTATGTAAAAATGCAACCGATTTCTGAATAGTAATTTTTCATCCTGTTACTTTACTGAATTTATTGGTCAGTTGTAAGAGTTTTGTTTCTTTGTGTGTGTAAAAATTTTAGGATTTTTCTATATGTGGTGTCATGTATCTACAAATAATGGCAGTTTTACTTCTTTCCATTTTGAATGCTTTCTATTTCTTTTTCTTGTATGATTGCTTTAGCTAGGACTTTCAGTGTTATGTTGAATAGAAGTGATGAAAGTGGGCATCATTGTCCTATTTCTGATTTTAAAGACAACACTTTTACCTTTTCACTGTTGAGTATTATGTTAGATGTGGGTTTGTCACATCTGGCCTTCATTATGTTAAGGTATGTTTTCTCTGTTCCTACTCTGCTGAAAGTTTTTGTTATAAATGGATGTTGGATTTTGTCAAAAGCTTTTTCAGCACCTTTTTATATGATCATATAATTTTTATTATTCATTTTGTTTATGTGATGTATAGTATCAATTGATTTGTAAATGCTGTATTGGCCTTGCATCCTACAAGTAAATCCCACTTCATCATGACATATGACCTTTTTAATGTATTATTGAATGAAGTTTGCTAATAATTTGTTGAACATTTGTATCTATGTTCATTGGGCCTCTTTTGTAAAGTCTTTGCTTTTGGAATTCGGGTAATGCTGGCCTCATAAAATGAGCTTGGGTGCCTTCTCTCCTCTTCAGTTTTTAGGAATAGTTTGAGAAGGTTAGGTGTTCTTCTTTGAATGTTTGGTACCATACACATGTGAAACCATTTGGTCTTTTGCTTTTGGGGGGGCGGAAAGAAGTTTTTTGATGTGTTCTTCTTGCTTCAGTCTTGGAAGATTGTATGTTTCCAGGAATTTATGGATTTCTTTTAGGTTGTCCAATTTGTTGGCATATAACTGTTCATGGTATTTTCTTATAATGCTTTGTGTTTCTGTGGTGTCAGTTGTCACTTCTCATCTTTTATTTTGAATTTTACTTATTTGGGTTCTCTCTTTTTTCTCGATGAGTTTGGTTAAAGGGTTATGAATTTTGTTTATCTTTTCAAAGAATCAGCATTGGTTTCATTGATCTTTTGGATTGTTTTTTAGATTCTATTTCCTTTATTTCCACTCTGATCATTATTATTTCATCCTTCTACTCATTTTGTGCCATGATAGTTGTTCTTTCTCTTATTGCTTTAGGTGTAAGTTTAGATTGTTTATTTGAGATTTTTCTTGTTTCTTGAGGAAAGCCTACATTGCTATGAGTTTCCCTCTTAGAACTGCATTGGCTGTGTCCCATAGGCTTGGAGTCATTGCATTTTCATTATAATTTTTCTCAAGGGGTGTTTTGATTTCATCCTTCATCTCGTTGTTAACCCATTCATTGTTCAGTAGCATGTTATTTAACTTCCATATGTTGGTGTGTTTTTTTGTTTTCTTCTTGTACTTGATTTCTAATTTCATACCATTGTGATAAAAGAAACTGTCCCATATGATTTAACCTTTCTTAAACTTATTGGGACTTGTTTTGTGGCCTAGAATGGGGTCAGTCCTGGAAAATATTCCCTGTGTGCTTAAAAACAATGTACAAGAAAAAATATTCTGCTTGCTTTGGGGTGAAATATTTTAAAAATATCTGTTAAATTCCTCTAGTCTAATGTGACATTTAGGACCACTGTTTCCTTGTTGATTTTCTGTCTGGATGATCTGTCCATTCCTGTCAATGGTGCTTTAAAGTCCCCTACTATGACTGTACTACTGTTGATCGCTCCCTTTATATCTGTCATTAGTTGTTCTTGTGTTGTGTGCATAAATGTTTACAAGGGTTATATCCTCACATTGGATTGATCCTTTATCTTTGTCTCATATTATAGCCTTTCTTTTAAAGTCTATTTTGTCTGGTACAAATGTTGCTATCTCATTTCAGCTTTTGAACTCTGCATCTGGTAGCTTCATTGCCTCTATTTTTAAAATAGATTCTGTTTTTCAAAAAAGAATCTCTATTCTTTTTCTAGAGATTTCTTTTGTTCTATCATTTGGAGCATGTTTCTTTCC